CAAGCAATTTCTCTGAAGTGTTTGGTCTCCAATTACTGGTGACAAGAAAGGAGTTGAGAGGCAATCTAGGACGCCAACAGTTAGGATCCATTTAGCCAGACTAGCACACACACTTGTTCCCTGGGTCATTTGCTAGGTCGCAACCATCAGTTGCCACCCGCTCCCAGCTGCCCTCTAAGGCAAGGAATGGCCCAAAGTGCTCCCTGGCTGCCTCTGAGTACCACAAGGACTTCTGTAGGGAATCCAGAATGTCTGTCCCACACCAGAATGAGGAGGAATATGCTGTAGTACAGCAGGCACACACACTATAATACACAGCTTGTTCGGACAAAGGATGTACAGGACGTACTCAGCAGCTTCAGGCAGTGCTTCTCTTTCCGCTGCTCTGACTCCTGCCTTGGGCGGGACGAACTGCTCCTGCTCAGGTTTTCAGGCTGCGGAGGGAAGGCTCCTTTGGAAGATGCTGCTGCAGCGCCCACGTCCATCTGGAACAAGAAATTGGTTGGTGTCACAAAGGTGGCTGGCAGAGATGCCCCAGAGAGCGCATATCAAAGGCAAGCCCTTAGGAACAACACTTGTGTTAGGCTGCAAGCTGAGCTCTCAACTCTTCCCGCTCAAGTCCAACCCCACCAAGCAGGCACAGACTACAGCTTGTCACAGCCAGCCCGAGTAGAGACTGTGGAAGGGAAAGAACAAGTTTCAATTTCACCCTGTCCTGAGGACTGCATTCACCATGGACAGGGACAACTTGTTCAGAATCCATGTGGGTCACCATGTTGACCTGAAGAAAGCCCCAAAAAGAAAGCGAGCACTAGGAGGCCGGCAGAAATACATTCTGAGCATTGCTGGCCCACAGCCAAAGCACTAGCCCTGCTGCCCAGGGCAGCAGCTGAGATTCAGCAGCCCAGGAAGTGTCCTTCTGAGCAGCTGCAATGGGGAGCATAGCACATGTCAGCCAGAGGCATGGCCTCCATCCTCCTGCTGCTCTGCAGGGGAAAGGTGAGAAGAGCAGAGACCACTTGTTGCATGACTGCACTGCCTACTGCTCTTTCACTCACCTGCTCTTGCTCTGCCAGCCTGTACTGCAGCATCTGCTGCATCCTTTCCTTTTCCTCCTTGTGCCTTTCCTGCATTGCCTTCATCTTCCACTGAGCTTCCTGCACCACTGCCTGCAGCTCGTCCTGGATATTTGGTCAAGAAAATTCTTACTAGCACCTGCCATCAAGTGGCAGGTGGAATCCAACCATGCTCAGGTTTCTCCTTTCCCAGTCTCCAAAGACCTTCCATTCAGAAGCACTTCCTTCAGCTTCTCTACCCAGCTCCAGCCCTTCCATCCTAACTCTTCTTCCTGCTGCTCAGCGCTGGAGCCTGTCACGCTCTGTGCTCCCAGTGCCTGCAGTAGTCCTTGCCTCCTCTTTCCTGACATGCAAACTTCACGTCCTCATTACTGCCCTTCCCTCTGCTACCTGCCTAGTCAGGCTCACCTGCCAATCTTCCTGCTGTTCCTCCAGCTCCTGCCTCAGCAGCTCTACCTCCCGCTGCCTATGATTAAGCTTTCGCTGCAGCTGGTGCACCCTCTGCAAGAGAGTAGCCTCCTGGTGCTGCAGCTGCACAGGAACAAAGAGAAGATGGCATTAAACTTCCCACACAACACTTGTGTGGCAAGCAAGGTTGATGTGCTCACACTTTCCCAAAAGCATTTTGTTCTTTTTCTCTTGTTGAACTAGGGACAGCTAAGGGACAATCCCACCCAGACAGTGTCCAGGAAAGCAGTGCCCACAAGGAGCCCAGAGGAGCCCAAAACAACACAGAAACTCTCTTTGCACATGCATTGCCTCTTGGCTGGCTCTAGTTCTTATCTTTTCTTCTTCCGCTTGCGAGATGGCAACTTCCTGCTTCATCTCAAGCAACCTTTTCTCCTGCTCCCTCTGTACCTCAGCCACCAGGTTCTCCCTTTGCTCCAGCTGCTCCCAAGCCTCCAAACGCTGTTGTTCCAGCTGCCTTTCCTGATGAGAGGAAGAGACACTTCCAGATGAAGGCCCAGTCATTCTCCCCAGAGAAAACAAGGCAAGTTGCATCATACCCACAACCCTCCTACTAAGGAGTTCACAGTAGTGGCTTTGTGCCCGCCACAACTCCTGACCTAACGAGAAACTTAGGAGGAGGGTCAGCAAGTGGAAGGAAAGGAGATGCCACCTTCCTTTGCCACTTTGACGGCTGCCTGTTTGATCAGGCCCCTCCCTCCTCAGGATTTTTGCCTCTTCTCAGAGGCTGTGTTCTCAGTGTCCCCCTGCCCTTTGATCAAGGAAAAGCTGCAGGTGGACTGCAGGATGACGACAAGGCCAGCACCCCCATGCCTTAATCACAAGACAGGCCACCAGCTGAAATACCAGCAACATGGGGCCTGCTGAGAGTGCTTCAAGGCCAAAGGGAAGACCTCTGTCCTCTTCCACCGTGGAAGGACAGAAAGCAAGGAACCCAGTTGCTGGGACTGCAGTTGGCAGCAAGGTCAGCAGACTGCTGCATGGCACGAGGGCATTGGAAACATCCTGCTCCTTCTCTGCTGCCATGCTTTGTGTGGGCAGCACCCAGCCTCCAGGAGACCTCGGCTTTTTCACACCCTGAAACCGTGGCTGCATTCAGTGTCCCAGCAGCTCCCTCTGGCCATTCTCAGCCCCTCAACTCTGAGCCCTTGAAGCCCTCTGCTGCCTGGCCCAGCAACATCTGGCCTACAGTAGAGCCTTGCCACCGTGTCACATACTCAGGCTGCTATTCTCCTATGCCAGCCCACCAAGCTTGCCTGAAAAATTCAGGTGCATATTGTTTCCTACCTGTTCTTGCAGGAGCTTCCTCTTTTCCTCTTCCTGAGCAGATTGCCATTGTCTCAGACCCTGGCTGAACTGCTCTTCGGCACAGCGGAGCTGCTGAGCCATTTCTTCCAGTTGCTGCTGGCTGAGAGATCTTAGAGCTTGCAGCTCCCGACGAAGGCCCCTCACATCCTCTGCAAGCATGAACAACACTCAGAGACTCTGCTGACCTTAAGCCCTTTCCGTTTTAGCCAAGGAGGGACCTGTTCCCAGCTCCTTCACTCCTCGGAAGCCCTGCGCACAGAGCTGCCTTCACAGCAACTGCACTAGGCAGGGCCATCGCCAGACACAAAGCGCACGAGGCTCTCACCAAGTATCACCTCCTTGGCCTGCATGGCTGTGCGAACTTGGCCTTCCAGGTGGCTCCTGGTGATCTCCAGCTCCAATACCTGCTGCTGAGCCTCCAACAGGCTGCATTCCAAGCTCTGCTTCTCTGACCTACAAGTTGTGGGAAAGAAGAGAAATTGTTCCTGGCACACACAAACACATTTTCTAGGAAGATGTGCCTTGAGGCCCCGACACCTGAGGATGGAAAATGGCTGGCATGGAAATTCAGATCCAAGACTATTTCTACCACTTCAAATAGCAAAGCAGGCCCCTCCAGGTGGTTGGCCAGCCTTTCCCCATGACTTAGCCCTGCTCAGAAAGGCCAGCTGAGTTTGATCTCAGCAGCCAAAGCTCAAATTGCCTTTGCCTCCCATATCCCACAAGGGTGGCTGTGCCCACAAAGTCTCTGCCAGGGAGCAAAAGCCCAGCCTCTGCTCACAGCCCTGAGCTCATCTGCATTTCCAAGTCACTCTGCAGGGGGACAGAACACAGTGTTCTCCTGGCTGACTCATCAATGTTTAATGCCATTCATAGTGTACCTAGAGATACTTCATTTTCCAGAGACTCTCCAAGGTAAAGAGACTAAAGCTATGCACTGGAGCATAGGTGAAAACACCAGCTTCTAGCAGCATGAGAAAGAAACCACAGCTAGGATTTGATCGGAACAAGAACTATCCTGGAGGAGGGAAAGGTATCCTGCCATTTAAATTACTGGAATTCTGTGAGCAAGAACAATTGCGACAATGGGCCTTGACAAGTTCCAGTGGGTGGGTAGAAAAGTGAGCAAGAATCAGTGCTCAGCATAAATCCCCAGAGACACTCAGGAAGTCATAAGACCTTTCCCTTCTGCTGCTGCTGCTCAAAAGCACCTCTAGGTCCTGCACTATACTTCACAAGTGTTAGCTCAGAAATGTCTTCCATAATGTCCTGCCCAGGGTCTCCTCCCTGCCTTTACCTGGCCTCTCCCAGCTGCTCCGAAAGGCCTCGTAGCTCCCGCTCCGTGGCTGCCAGTCGTTCTTGCAGGGCAGCGTTCTCTTGTGCCAGCGCTGCCTTCTCGCTGCACACCTGGGACAGGATGTGCCCTTGGCGAGAGAACTCCTGGAGCAGCTTTTCCAGATGCCTGTGAGCTGGCCGCTGAGGGCGGCAAACCTGGAACTGCAGGGGGACAGAACACAGTGTTCTCCTGGCTGACTCGTCAATGTTTAATGCCATTCATAGGGTACCTAGAGATACTTCATTTTCCAGAGACTCTCCAAGGTAAAGAGACTAAAGCTATGCACTGGAGCATAGGTGAAAACACCAGCTTCTAGCAGCATGAGAAAGAAACCAGAGCTAGGATTTGATCTGAACAAGAACTATCCTGGAGGAGGGAAAGGTATCCTGCCATTTAAATTACTGGAATTCTGTGAGCAAGAAAAATTGCGACATTTGCTTTTAGCTAACTAAGCCAGCAGCGCTCACTAAGTTTTGGCACTCTTTAAAAAGGAAGAGGGACCAGCCAAATGGGCCTTGACAAGTTCCAGTGGGTGGGTGGACAAGTGAGCAAGAATCAGTGCTCAGCATAGAATCCCCAGAGACACTCAGGAAGTTGTAAGACCTTTCCTTTCTGCTGCTGCTGCTCAAAAGCACCTCTAGGTCCTGCACTATACTTCGCAAGTGTTAGCTCAGAAATGTCTTCCATAATGTCCTGCCCAGGGTCTCCTCCCTGCCTTTACCTGGCCTCTCCCAGCTGCTCCGAAAGGCCTCGTAGCTCCCGCTCCGTGGCTGCCAGTCGTTCTTGCAGGGCAGCGTTCTCCTGTGCCAGCGCTGCCTTCTCGCTGCACACCTGGGACAGGATGTGCCCTTGGCGAGAGAACTCCTGGAGCAGCTTTTCCAGATGCCTGTGAGCTGGCCGCTGAGGGCGGCAAACCTGGAACTGCGGGGGGCACCATTTTTCAAGAAGAACAACACCACAGTCTCGGGCTTAGCTTGCTGCCAGAAGCAACATTTGGGGCAGTCTTGCCAAGGGCAGCTCCCTCTCCCACAGGTGCTGCCTAGGAATAAGGTGAGCATACCTTTGGCACTGCCTGAGGAACCTCTTCTTTCCGCAGATCTCTCTGCAGCTGTGATTCCTCCTCTGGCTCTGCTGCCACTTCAAACGCCCTCTCCAGTGAGGAGGGGCGGTTTCTCCCAAATGCAGCCAACTCCTTCCATCTACAGCAGGGGCACACACAAACAAGCCTTTCATAGCAACACAGCCTCCTTGCAAAACCACGACTACATACGATGTCCCACATAGGCCATCCTCAGGGACTTGCAACAGCCCTCTAGATCCACCTCAAGAGAATGCTGGAATGGCCTGGCTAGAGCAGCATCGCTCTTTGTCATTCCTGCAGGTGAAAGAGTCACCACTGAGGAAGTCAACAAGCTTCCAGAAACCACAGAAACACTTCCAGAAAGCTCAGAATCGCTCAGCTGAACAGCTTCCTGCCTGCTAGGCCTTACGCTCCTCTCTGATACACTGGCTACTGAACTTGCAAAAGTTCTTTGGCTAAGTCAGGCTTGCTAAGTCCAGATGAGGACAGCCACAATTACTCTTGCTTTCACTAGTGCAACAAGGAAAGAGCCCTGAGCTCATCTGCACTTCCAAGTCACTCTGCAGGGGGACAGAACACAGTGTTCTCCTGGCTGACTCGTCAATGGTTAATGCCAATCATAGGGTACCTAGAGATACTTCATTTTCCAGAGACTCTCCAAGGTAAAGAGACTAAAGCTATGCACTGGAGCATAGGTGAAAACACCAGTTTCTAGCAACATGAGAAAGGAACCATAGCGGGGATTTGATCTGAACAAGAACTATCCTGGAGGAGGGAAAGGTATCCTGCCATTTAAATTACTGGAATTCTGTGAGCAAGAAGAATTGCAACATTTGTTTTTGGCTAACTAAGCCAGCAGTGCTCACACAGTTTTGGCACTCTTTAAAAAGGAAGAGGGACCAGCCAAATGGGCCTTGACAAGTTCCAGTGGGTGGGTGGACA